AGTAAGTGCAGTGCCAGCGTCCTGCCAACTCCGAGCTTTGGGTGTAGGAAGAGGGGTCGGAAAGTATTCAGTGCGTCGAGCCCCCCCACAGGCACGTGCCGAGTGCCGAGGGAGCACGGGGGGAAGCCTGGGGTGCCAGAGAAGGTTCCCTCCAGCGGCACGTATCATCTGAACCAGATCTCAGGGCCAGCTAGGAATTATCAGGTGGAAGTGAGGAGTGGGCTTTCAGACAAGGAGTGAAAGATGCGTGTGAAGGGACTGAGATGCCAGGAGGCAGAGGATGTTCAGAGAAGCACAGAAGTGCGCACGCGTGTGTGCGCGTGTGTGATGAGGTGGAGGCAGCAGAAGATCGGGAGTAACCGTGTGGAAGGAGGAAGCATTGCTGCACCTGCCTCCGAGGACGGGGCGGTGGAGCTGGGGGAGCGATCGTAAGCCACGACCGCAAGAGTCTAGCTGTGGTTTCAAATGCGTCCCGAGCGCTGCACTAGGCGTTTGTCGGTGGTATTTCGGTGAGTCTCCACAAGAACCCGGTGAGGCGTAGACGTTCTCCTCTCCGTCTCCCAGAAGCAAGCTCAAGGGAGTGAAGTAACCTGCCCAGGGCACAGTCCTGTTCAGGGGCAGAGCGGGACTCTGAACCCACGATCTTTGTGATTGTGGGGCCCATGCTCCTTCCGTTACACAGAGAGGATGTCTGCCTTCCACCCAGTGGTGCGCCGTGAGAGATGGTGCAAGTGCAGAGTGCGTTTTAGGAAGATTTCCATTCAGAACGGTTCAGGTAGAAGCTTTGCTGTGAAACCTTACTTCTCTGGCACCCTCTCCTTTAGCCAGATCAGATTTAGGGATCTCGGTCAAATTAGTTCAGGAGAACATCAGGTGGTATCGTGGTTACAGACGCGGGCTCCGAAGCCAGACCGGCTGCGTTTGGACGCTCGCCCCGCCACTCCTGCATGTCTGACCCTGCATCTCAGTTTCCTCATCTTTAAAATGGCAGGAATGGGGCGCCCAGCTACCTCAGTCAGTTGAGCGTCCGACTTCGGCTCAGGTCCGTGATCTCACGGTTCGTGAGTTCAAGCCCCGCATCGGGCTCTGTGCTGACAGCTCGGAGCCTGGAGCCTGCTTCGGATTCTGGGTCTCCCTCTGTCTCTTCCCCTGACCTGCCCGCTCGCTCTCTCGCTCTCTCTCTCTCTCTCAAAAATAAATAAACATTAAAAAAAATTTTTTTAATGGCAGGAATGGGGCACCCAGCTGGCTCAGTCAGAAGAGCATGCAACTCTCATCTTGGGGTCATGAGTTGGACCCCCATGTTAGGTAGAGAGATTACTTTTAAAAGTTAAAAAAAAATTTAAATAAAATGGCAGTAATAATGGAATTTACCTCACAGGGTTGTTGCAAGGTTTAAGTGAGTTTCTAGAGGTAACGCTGTCCTACAGCACCTCCTATACGGTATTAGTATTAATGAAGCACTTGTGTTCTTGTCATCAGCAGAAGAAAGCCAAGTTTTATTTTTAAGATTCACAAGTTATGTTTTGCCTTAATCCCCAAGTGTTTTAGCCTTTAGAAGTTCTTAAACCAGAGTTTTGGGTGGGCTTGAAGAGGGATTTTCATCAGATTGTCAAAGAGTTCTATTTCCCAAAGGAGTTAAACATGACTACTTTATAAAAAGCATTAAGAAGTTTACTCTTTGAGGGGTGCCTGGGTGGTGCAGTCGGTTAAGCGTCCGACTTCAGCCAGGTCATGATCTTGCGGTCCGTGAGTTCGAGCCCCGCGTCAGGCTCTGGGCTGATGGCTCAGAGCCTGGAGCCTGTTTCCGATTCTGTGTCTCCCTCTCTCTCTGACCCTCCCCTGTTCATGCTCTGTCTCTCTCTGTCCCAAAAATAAATAAACGTTGAAAAAAAATTAAAAAAAAAAAAAAAAGAAGTTTACTCTTTGAGGGATTCCTGGATGGATCTGTCGGTTAAGTGTCTGACTCTTGATTTTGGCTTAGGTCAAGATCCCAGGGTCATGAGGTTGAGCCCTGCATTGGGCTCGGTACTGAGCGTGGAGCCTGCTTGAGATTCTCTCTCTCCCTTTGCCCCCTCCCCCACTCGCACGCTCTTTCTAAAAGGAAAAAAAAGTTACTCTTTGAAAGGTCTTGATACAGCGATGCATGTCATCAAACACTTAAAAGAAGGTTATGGCTGCAAAATTACAACATTGTGAGTCACACTTAGTGGATATGTTGGCAGTCATCTGCTAGGAATAATAAAGTATCCAAGTTTTTGAAATACTAACATTGTATTAGGGGGAGTCAACATAGTTCCCGATGTAACCACTGAGATCCACTTGCAATAGTGTATGTTTTCTTGCATTAGGAAGTCTAGAGTGGAATTACTGGCCTTGTATCTGGAGTCACATGGAAATATTTTGTGTGCATAGAGATCATCCATTATTTGTATATTTCTAACTACTAAACTACATTTAGAAAGATCTTTGTGCCCTGGAAAAAGTTTAACTGTTAAGTTTGAATTCCGAACTTTAGGTCTACAGACAGGAGTTGCATTTTGCACAGTGGTTAGGTTCTAAGGTCAGCACCTAAGGTGGGAATTGTAAGTAGTTCAGGTTCCCTGAAAACCCCTCAGGAAGGCTGGCTTCACAACCAAAAGCTGACAGACTGCGGGTCCAACAGAACGTCAGCCCAGTGCAGCTGGGTTCTTCTCGGCACCAGGTGAAGTCATTGGCGTAGGCTCAGAAGCCATAATTATTATTTTTTCAATTACGTTAGCTACGCGTGTCAGAATCACACTTGGGTAGTGAGTTGTGCACACTGAAAGAGACATACAGGAGTTCTCCAGGACAAGCAGGTGTATGTTCTTTGTCACACTCGCTCCAAGGAATAGGTTCGTAGCATAGAATCACCCCAACTAATCAGTCAAAATCTCTCTCTCTCTCTCTCTCTCTCTCTCTCATAAATGGCCAAATATAGAACTTACATGAACTCCTGTCTATGTAGTGCCCCTCCATTGTATCTGGGGCCCAATAAAGGGGGATTTGAAAGAAGGGAGCGTTAGTTAAAAACCTTGGAACATTTGGGGATATGAAGCTGCTCCTAAATTACTAACCAAACGCAGCACCCAGAACTCATTTATGTCGCGTCTCTAAACAGGACTGGCTTCACCAGTAGAATACTAAAAATAGGACCTTCACTATTTAAATGAAACTGTTAAAGTAAAGGCCTTGCTGCTATTTTCTTTACCTGATTTAGGCCAGATGATTTCACTTTATCATCCTTCTCCAAAATTCCCTATTTTTAAAAAAAGCTTGTATTGGCCTTTTGGATGCTACAACTTCTATTTTGAAAGATACAGAGGGAATAGAAAAGTACTTATAGTAGTTTTCCATAGGAGCATAACAAATTACCGCAGATTTAGCAGTGTGCAACGACATCCACTGTTATCTCCCTGTTCTGTACCTTGGAAGTCCAGATAGGGCTCAGCTGGGCTCTCAGTCTCTCCCAACACTGAATCAGGGTTTGAGCCAGAACTGGGTCCTTCCCTGAGGCGAGCGAGGGCTCCTTCCTCTTCAGGTTGTTGGCAGTTTGTTCATGTTGTCGGCAGTATTCCATTCTTTATAGTTGTAGAACTCATGGCAACCTCTTTTCCTAAAGTTCAAGGTCAGTAGGAGAGTGTCTGATGTTGTGTCTCATCCCTTTCAAGGGCTCACCTGACTGACCGTGATAAGTCAGGCTGAGTCAGGATGGTCTCCCTTTTGATTAACTAAGATTCAACGGGACCTAAACTAGTGTGCAAAGTCCCTTTTGCCATACAACGTAACAGTCACGGGAATGATAGCCCGTCACATTCACCAGTCCTACTCACGCTCACAGGGATGGCACTATACGGGGCATGCGCACCAGGGGGCAGAAATCTTGGGAGCCGTCTTGGAATTCTGCCTGCCACAGAAGTGATGCTGTCATAACGTTACTGCGTACCTACTGAAGTGCCACATACTGTTTGATTAATTCCCGCCTTTGAGTTCAAATGGTATTATCCAAGTTTTACTCACAGGGAAACTATAGCTCAGGGAAATGAAGTTTGTGTTGCTAACAAATAGTGTGGTCAGGATTCTGAACTACATCAGTTAGCCTCCAAAGCCCAGGCTCTGGTTATTTTGTCACATTATCTTGCTAAATCCTGTCACTCCTTCCTCCCTGCTTGTGGAGGTATCACAATGCAGTAAAGAATAAACATGCTCCAAGTAACACAAAGCAATTTGTTGAAGTGAGAGAGGTTCATCTTACATTGACTACCAAAGAATTGTTTTCAGTTGTTTACCTGCTTCCCACATTGGACCACAAGAATGTGAATAATAAAATAATGATAAACTACAACTAACAGGAAAAGCAGGATCGGGGAAATTGTAACACTAGAAATCAAAACCAGAGGAACAAAACAAACAGATTTGGCTCTTGGCTTTCTGGTCCCAAAGTAAAGGGAAATAATGTGATTCTTCTTTTCAAAGATGAGAAAAATAGACACTCCAGGAGAGGCAAAGATTTTCTTAGCACGGAGTTCTCAAACACATAACGTGGGATTGTATATAGGTGAATGAAGGGCTTTACAAGTAATTATCAAGTAGCTGCAACAACCTGAAAGATCCAGAAATGATTTAGCATGTGGTTTTTACCTTCTAAAGTAAAACTGGGGGGGCCTGGCTAGCTCAGTCAGTAGAGCACGTGACTCGATCTCGGAGTCGTGAGTTCCAGCCCCACTTTGGGTATAAAGATTACTAAAAACTAAAATCTTTTAAAATAAAAGTAAAGCTGATATGTATTAAATACTAAGTATCATTCAAAATGAAATATAATTAAAAGTTATCCTGTTTAGGAAGCTGGTTAGTGGTTCCGAACTGTTCCCTAGATGAAAAGGTATAGGTCTCTTTTCTGTTTTGTAACCATGGCTTCAGGGTTGCTCAACCTGTGTTCTAATGAAGTCTTCCCCTGTTCTGTTTCCACGTGGCACCAGCCAAAAAAGAAGAACATGTCTGCCTACCAGGTGTTCTGTAAAGAGTATCGTGTAACCATCGTGGCTGACCATCCAGGTATAGGTAAGGACATTTCTCATCCTCAGCTTTGTTCTGTCCGTCTTTATCTCAGAAACAGTGCAGTGAATTCAGCCAGTCAGCAGGCAGCTTCTTCCTATGGTACTAAAATACCACAAAGCTCATGTTTTTCCCCCCTCTTCCCCGGTTCTGAAGTCACTTTAGGTTCTGTCTTAGTCCACCCGTCCCTAAAAGAGATAAGCTTTCTGTTTATATCCCTTAAAATGAGAAAACGGGACACTGAATAAGATTAAATGTTAGGGAGCCCTGCACATAAACCTGCAGTTGTTCGCTGCCGTGATTCCCCGGCTGACCTTTCCCTCTGGCCCCTGGGTGTGAGTTACAGCATTGCTTCTGTCTGTCTCTGTGTCACAAGTTAGCGAGGTGAGAGAAACACTCTGCCACAGACCTTGACAAGTCACGTAACCTCCACAGATCTCATTTGCCTGATGGGTACAGTGGCTTCACAACCTTCTCATCGAGGTGGTTGTGAGGCCCACGTGAAGCACCGTAGCAGATAGGAGCGCTTTATAAAGCATGACCTTGCTGTGCCGATGGAAGGGCAGTGTTACACTTCTCAAGGGTTGCTTCTGGGCTGCTCGAGGGAAATTCCTCTTTGGTTCTCCGCTCTCAAAACTTGGTAAAAATCTAATGTTTTCTATCAAATTCTACACAACACATCTTCTTTAACCTAAGGTGATAAGCTCTGTATAATGAGGTCAAATTGAAAGACCCCCGAAAGAGGCTGAAGGGATAAATCTCTGGAGCATAGGTGTGTGAGAATTTGAGCCTATCTCATGACCACCCGGTAGCCCCTTCCTTCCCCAGAGAAAAGAATCAAGACAAGTGTTGGGGTTTTAGTGTGGTTTTCTGCAAGAACCTTGTGCTATTTAAATCTGAGCTGGGAAATCCTTCTAGTTTTTGCTCTTATCAATCTTCTGTTTGATTTATAGTCCGACCTTTACTGTGTCGCGTTTTTTTACCCTTTCATGCCAGACTTCGGGGAACTTAGTAAAAAACTGGCTGAGGTGTGGAAGCAGTTGCCAGAAAAAGACAAACTGGTAAGTACGCTTTCTTACGAACGCAGTTTTCATTGCTTTGTGCCTTGCAGAATACGTAATTCTTCTGTAGGCCATCAAGCCAACAGTGAAAATGGTGAAAACAAATTATAGATCAATAGAAAATGGTTTGGCAGGGGCGCCTGGGTGGCTCAGTCAGTTAAACGTCTGACTTTGGCTCAGGTCATGATCTCACGGTTTGTGGGTTCGAGCCCCGCATCGGGCTCTGTGCTGACAGCTCAGGGCTTGGAGCCTGTTTCAGATTCTGTGTCTCCCTCTCTCTCTGCCCCTCCCCTGCTCATGCTCTGTCTCTCTCTGTCTCAAAAATAAATACAAACATTAAAAAAAATAAAATAGGGGCGCCTGGGTGGCTCAGTCGGTTGGGCGGCCAACTTCGGCTCAGGTCATGATCTCGCGGTCCGTGAGTTCGAGCCCCGCGTCAGCCTCTGTGCTGACAGCTCAGAGCCTGGAGCCTGCTTCAGATTCTGTGTCTCCCTCTCTCTGACCCTCCCCCGTTCATGCTCTGTCTCTGTCTCAAAAATAAATAAACGTTAAAAAAATAAAAAAATAATAATAATAATAAAATAAAATAAAAATTAAAAAAGAAAATGGTTTGGCAGAGGGCATTAACACTGGCTGGTGCCAGTTTACTCTAGTGTGGATTTAACTGCAGGGAGGCTATCTTTTCTAGCCTCATCTAGTTTTTTTCCAGCAGCCTTCCATTTGAGCCAAAAGATGACCTGAGTTGGGGAGTGATGAAGGGTCAAAAGAGAATCTAAGATCAGACCCCTTTCCTGCAAACAGCCACTGGTCAGTAAAGGTCCGAGAACTGAGGAAGGTCATCTGCATCATGGTTACTGCAAATGAGAAAAATATGGGCTGTGTTTACTAGGTGAGTGGCTTGCAGGCCATCATCCTCATCAGCCAATACCAAATAATATACCCTCCTATCAGGAAGCCGGCAACACAATGATAACTAGTTCTACTGGAATCATTCACAGTCACTTTTCAACTGGGTGATGTGAAGGTTGGTCTAGGAACTAGAATTACCGTCTTTCTTTACAGCACAGCTCATCTGGGTGAAGCAGTGAAATTATTGTCACCTGGGTAGGTTATCTTTACTTTCTGTTTTCCGTGTCATTGTCATCCTGTTATTGGCATTGCCAACCAGCAGGTCAGAAGAACTATTTGGACCACATGGACATCATACCGAGCCAGGTGTTTACCCTATGATTTTCCATTTCGACCTCCGAGTGATCTCAAATCTCTTCTGAGACCTAACCATTAGCATGGAAGAACGTTTGCAGTCCTGTACTTAGGTATCACTGTAGTCACCATCTGAAGCCTGTTTGGTAACCCTCAGCGTAAAAGTTAGCATTAAGAGGCGCCTGGGCGGCTCAGTCAGTTGAGCATCCAACTTCCACTCAGGTCACGATCTCACAGTTCGTGAGTTCAAGCCCCCCATCGGGCTCACTGCTATCAGCATTGAACCTGCTTCGGATCCTCTCTACCACCCATCCCCCTCAGCCCCTCCCCTACTCATGTTCTTTCTCAAAAATAAACATTTAAAAAAAAAAAAAAGTTAGCATCAACCCTCTGTCTGCCCCCCTCCAGGATTTCCTTTCCCTTTCTTTTCTTCATTCTCCCCTTCCGTGACTGCTTTCCCTTGTATGTTTTGTCCGGATTCATTTATGGTAACTTGCTTGGCCCTGATCTGATTGCAGATTTGGAAGCAAAAAGCTCAGTATCTGCAACACAAACAGAACAAAGCAGAAGCTACAACTGTGAAAAGAAAAGCCTCCTGCTCGGAAGTTCCCGTGAAAGTAAAAGGTAGGGGCTCCGACCTCTTTTCCTGAGAGCATGGTGAATTTGGCTTCCTAACCAGGAAATTGGGGGTGCAGCCTATATCAGAAGCAGATCTTGATACCCGCATATTATCACTGAATATTCTAGATTGCAAAAAAAAAACAAAATTAGAAAATATAAATCAGAAGTCATCAAACTTTTTCTAAAAAGGGGCAGAGAGTAAATATTTTAGATCTTGTGAGCCAAAGGCACTCTCTGTCACATATTCTCCTTTGTTTTTTCTACAACCATTTAAAAATGTGAAGCCATTCTTAGCTCACAGGCTATGCAAAAACATGTACAGATTTGGCCCACAGTCCACAGTTCTGCTAAGGCCTGGTATAGGTCGTAACGGGGAAATCAGGAAGAAGATTTTTGTGGTGTCCCAGGCCATGGGTAAGCTTTGTCTCTCTATTTCGTCTCTGTTCTCAGCTTCCTCTGCAGGAGTACTGTCTCCCCAGAAGAAATCCCCACCCACCACCATGCTGTTACCAGCCTCGCCAGCCAAAGCCCCTGAGACAGAGCCCATTGATGTCGCTGCTCATCTACAGCTGCTGGGAGAGTCCCTAAGCCTCATTGGACACCGCCTGCAGGAAACCGAGGTGAGTGGCACCATAAGCATAGCTCCAGTTTCTGATACGGTGTGGATCTGTTGGCTCCTTCCATGTGCACCCAGTGAGCAACTACTACTCCTTTGTGCGAGATCATGCCAGGCGCTAAGGACGGAGTGACAAGATACGTCCTCGTGAAAACCCCTAGAGATAAGGAATCTACTGGCTGTCAAAGTCTACCCTTACCCCATCCTGTTGAACAATGGCACAAAAAGAAGTTAGGTATTCTATGATTTTTTTTCCCAATTTTTATTGAGATACAGTTGATCTATCATCCTGTATTTTGATTTTTTTAAAATGCAGTGGAAAAAGTGAATACAAATCCCATGGAAGTTTTGATCATTGGTACTTCTAAGAGAGTTTCAATTTTTCTGCACAATTCCAGTAAGGTCTTAAATAGAGTAAATTGTATAGGGGATTAAGGCTTCCTCTACTTCGTTGAAAATAAGTAGCAAATAGGGAAATTGAGGTTCTCAAGCTCTTTATTACTGCGTGCTTGAATTATACAGTGCTGTGTGCCCTAGGGAGATCTTTGTCCTTTTAAGCTTCAATTTCAAAATCACTTAACCTGAAAAGCTGTCATGTTCCATTTCTATTACCGTATTCAATTTCTAATCATATTACCCCCTTGGCTAACCCAGTCGTGTACTATTTCACTTTTCCACTGGGTCCTGATAGGACATTTCAGCAAAGAAATCAGTCTCCACTACTAAAGCCATAAAAATCAGTGTAGGAACATAAAACTATTCACTTGCTTCTCTGTGGAAGTTGAACTGTTATGCAACAAATAAAATGCCAAAGGCCACAAAAGATGAAGGTTACCTAAGTTTTTTGGCTAGTTTTAATAACTTAGCAGATTTCAAAACAACTGGGGTATTTTCATATAGACTCAGGTATTTAAATGGATGTAGATACTTCAAGAGTAAAATGCTCTGGGATCCTTAGTTATTTTTCGTATTTAATCATTCTCAGTTTCCTAAAGAGTTAAAAATAAAAATGATTTGTTTTTTGCACCTTCTGTATTCCAGACTTCCCCTGGTATTTCCATTTAGTTTAGAAACTACTTGTTGAGTACCTAGGCATTATTTCAAAAACTTGTGGGGATAGGGGCACCTGGGTGGCTCAGTCAGTTGAGCATCTGACTTCATCTCAGGCCTTAATCGCATGGTTTGTGAGTTCAAGTCCCACGTCGGGCTCTCTGCTGTCAGCACAGAGCCCACTTCAGATCCTCTGACTCCCTCTCTGTGCCCATCCCCTCCCTCCCTCCCTCTCTCTGTCTCTCTCTCTCTCAAAAATAAATAAACATTTATTTAAAAAAACAAAAAAAACTTGTGAGAGTAGAAAATCTGACTTGCTTCCTGATGGTTTCCGATCATCAGGAAACTTACAGTCTCACTGGAAAGATAGAACATACATATAATTAGCAATTAAGGGGCACGGGGGTGGCTCACTGAGTTAAGCATCTGACTCTTGATTTCAGTTCAGGTCGTGATCTCATGGTTCGTGTGTTTGAGCCCTGCATTGGCTCTGTGCTGACAGCACGGAACCTGCTTGGGATTCTCTCGCTCCCTCTGTCTCTCTGCCCCTCCCGTCTCGTGATCGATCTCTCTCTCTCTCTCTCTCTCTCTCTCTCTCTCTCTCTCTCTCAAAAATAAATAAATAAATAAATAAACATTTAAACAAAAACAAGCCAGCTTCTGTGAGCAGCTGCTTTGAAAAAGTTACACATACATGGTGACCAGAGAAGGGGAAGGCTCAGTATGCCTGGGTGGCTCAGTCAGTTAAGTGTTCGACTTCAGCTCAGGTCATGATCTTGTGGTCCGTGAGTTCAAGCCCCATGTTGGCCCCTATGCTGACAACTCAGCACATGGAGCCTGCTTCAGATTCTGTGTCTCACTCTCTCTCTACCTCTCCCCCACTCACGTTCTGTCTCTCTCTATCTCTCTCTCAAAAATAAAACATTAAAAGTGGGGGGGGAAGACTCATGCAGGTTCTCTAGCCCCCTTTATGTAACAGTCTTATGGAGATACAATTTACATACCTTAAAGTTCACCTTCTGAAACTGTAGAATTTAGTGGTGTTCAGTATATTCACAGAACTGTGGCCCCATCACTACCATCTAATTCCAGAACATCTTTGTTACTCCCGAAAGGAGTCACAAGTCTGATATTCTAATTTTTTCCTAACGTAGTACATCACAATGGGCATACATCAAAATGACGTGCCACCTGAAACTACATACCACACTTCAAGGAACACTGGTGTCTACAAGTCACTCATTTATAGATGGGACACCAGGGGCCTAATAACGTTAAGTGGCGATTACAAGTTGACACTCTGGCAGAGCCCGGCGTGCCTCACTCCTGACCTTGTCTCCCTGAGGCCAGCTGATGCGGTGAGAGAAGCTAGAGCCCAGTGAGAGTCAGGGAGACTCAAGAGGGATTTTGTGAAAGGGAGGTGCTCTTCCAG